CACACCTATGATCCAGTCACCTCCCCAAAGCACTACCCGCAAGCACAAATGGCTCTCGGGTACATCAGGTATGAGCTGCGCCAGGCAGGAAGTGCTGAGCTTCCCCAGCACTGTACTGGGGCCTTCTACTACGACAGAGGCCTCCTGCATCCGGCCAAATACAGCAAAACAGTATAAAAATTTCAGGACCCACACTGAAGAGCCTGTGTGGCCTGGCCCTGCCTGCCCTACGAGAGGGGAGAGGACTTTGGGGAAGTGACAGAGCTCAGGCTGGGAAAATAAGTATGACAACCCCAGCACCACAGTGGCAACTGAGCTCACAGTGGATGAGCTCCTCCAAGGCACTAAGAATGGCACCTGAGAAGACCAAGCCCCTCACAGGACAATGTGCAGCTGCTTTCAGAACTAGAACTCAACTCACTGAGCCTGAAGAGCACCGGATGTTGAAGTCTGTGACTTTTAGGTCCCCACTCATCCTTTTTCTCTTAAGTTCCACCACCAACGTGACACTTCTACTTGATATCTCACAAATGTCTCAGCAGTGCTAGGTCCAAAATAGGTTCTTGCTCTTTTCCCTCAAACCTGTCCATCTTCAACATCTCAGTAAATACCATGATTTCCCCAATTAGAACTGCCAAAAACCTAGGAAGTACTCATAACTCCTCCCTTTCCCTTTCTGCAAGAATATATCATCAAAGTTCTACCCTTCCCACCACAGATTCCAGTCCCATCCATCCTCACACCATCTATCCATCTGTACCAACACTTTTCTCCCCTCAGGAGGGGCCCTCAGGAGACCAGACCTTGCCTGGACCTCTTTCCCAAAGGCAGATTCCCAAAGCCAAAGTGCAATCACGACACTCCCATTCAGCACTTCTATGTTTTCTAGTTGCTCTAGAACAAAACCCCAGCTCTTTGCAGGGCTGCTCTGTACCTGAGCACCCTCTGCTCTAGCGCACTCACGCCGGTCCTTCCTTGGCACTTGCGGTCTGCTCCCCTCATCTCCTGCAAGGCTCACATCTGAGCTCCTATAGGTCTCAGTGTTAAGACAACTTCCCCAGAGGGCTTTCCTGCTCTTACTCAATGACTTCCCGACTTTGGGGATTGTTTCCCTATTTCAGTTGCTTTTATCTTCCTCGAAGGCACTTTCTATAATAAACATTTTCATTTATTTGCCAAGCACACCCTTTTGGAATGTTAAGTTCCACAGAGGTAGAACTATCTGTTATTTTAGGTGTATTGTTTCTTTTTCCTCCCCTGCACACCTACTCAGGGTACTGGGCACTGAACCCAGGGCCTTCATGCTGAGCTACATCTTCAGCTGCTTTAAATTTTTCTTTCTTTCTTTTTCTTTCTTTCTTTCTTTCTTTCTTTCTTTCTTTCTTTCTTTTTTTCTTTCCTTTTTCTTTTTTGAAACAATGTCCACAAGTTACTCAGCCTGGGCTTGAACTTGTGCCTCAGCCACCCTGAGTGCTGGGATTACAGGTGTGAACCACCACGCCAGGCTTTACTTTTCCTTTATCATAACCAGATGAGACACGCATTATTCCCATTTTAAAAATGAGGCAAGTAAGAATAGAAATACTGAGAACACAGACACAGCTTCTGCACGCAAAAGTAGGAGTCAGTGCGGCTCGGTACAGAAATGCCATTTGTTCCCATCCAGTAGTCCTAGTCCCAATACCTGGATGAAATCCTTGGCCTCTGCATACTTTCTGACCTGTTCTGGCTGTCACCACAGGGGAAGTCCCCTCGCCCAAAAACAGCACCTCACCCCCACCCAGTCAACATGGGGTACAGCCCTGCAGATAAGAGATCCAAGGAAGAATGAGGGGGAGAAACAACAAAGGGCAGGTGACAGGCAGGAGTCAAGCAGGACAGGACGAGGAAAATAGTGATTTTAGCACTGTCTCCAATATCCCCAGGCTGCCTTTTCATTCTATTTCCTAAGCAGCACCTTGTGTGGTCTAGTACCATACATGGCTCTGCAGGCACCTTTCTTGTGTATTCCTCACAGTCTTCCCCAGTGCCCCTTCCAACTTCCTCCTTTGGAATAGGAACATTGTACAAGAACGAAGTAACCATATCAGGTGATAAATGGCAAGTCACAGCTCATTTGGGGGAAAAACAACAGAGAACATGAAAAGCTACGGCCAGCGGGCTGCCCTTGCCCCATTAAGGAAGGCAGTGGATTTGCACTGTGACAGCAGGTTGCTCCAGGCAGAACATACAGGTGGGCCATTCTTCCCTCCGGCCACATGCCCACCTCAGGCTCAGCCTAAGTGTGTGGCTCGGCCCTCAGGACGGCTCCCAGGCCCTAGAGACTGGTCAAACCTGAGAACCAAGTCTAGCCCAGGACTCTCCTGAGCAAGGTCCAAGAACCAGCCCTTGACAAAGCTAAATGCATTGCTCAGGTGACTAGCTGGAAACAGGTATTCACGAAAAAAAAAAAAAAAAAAAAAAAAAGGTCTCCAAAGGTGCTATTTTCAAACTGGGAAGCACAATTCAGGATTGTGAAGTCATCTTCATGGTTTATAAACAGCATAAAAGAAAACACAATAAATGAGAATGTATCGTACGTACTCAAAAGTCAACACTGCTCTGTGAAACTTTTAATTTAAATATTTGCATACATGGTACACTTGATGCTTCATCTCAGTTCATCCTCCTCTGACTTGTTCCAGGCCCCAGGAGGCACTCCCAGGGGCAAGTGTCAAGGCAAAGCCTTAGTGCCTTAGTGAGGGAGGCGAGGTCTGGGCAGCTCTTCCTGGGTAGCAAGTGGTCCCCGGGTGTCTGCCTACATGTTCTCTGTGGACTCCTGAAGCCTGCATCTGCTTCTGAAGAGTCCACTGATTAAATCCATTTCTTTCTGGACACTGACATGCCACATATAAACAGACAGGGAAACACAGTGGCAAATACACCTAGATGATAGTGAGCTGCCAGAGGTGAGAGCAGGCTTAATGTAGTGTTTGCTGTGGGCTCTGGTCAAAAAGCTTAAGACTCTGTCAAGGTTCTCTCTACACCTCTGCCTCCTTCTGGCAGATGAACAGAAAGCAGCCAGGTTGAAACTTTCAAAAATAAACATTTCAAGAACCCACCTGTACAACTGTCAGCATTAAATAAGCAGAATACACTATTCAAATAAGAAAAACAGACATGATGATTAAAACAGATTTTATAACAACACTTCACTCGGAGCCTGACACCATCTCACAGATCCAACAAAGAAAAGGGTCACTTTGGTGACTTCTGGGTGTCTAACACATATGGAGAAAAGCTGCAGCCAGTTTCTAACTCCTCGAAATCTCTGCTTCTTCATAAAAGTGTCTTCCTAAGCAGAAACAAAGACATCTCAGTAACAGCCTAATATTTAATGGTGGTATTCAATCAGCTACAGATTAACTCTGAAAGAGTACAACCAGCTCTCAAGCCCAAAGACCAGACCTACGTCAAAGGTCCCCATTTGGCCTTCCACTTCATTCTGGGAGAGGAAATAAAACAGCAAACAAGGCAGCCTTGAAAACACTGAAAGTATCCTCTTCCCCGGATCTGGGTGGCCTGAGGCGGAGGCAAACTCTCAGATCCAATCATCCCCAAACCACCTCTCTAGGGTCCCTGTGATCTCCCTGCAGGTGGTCAGCAGAATACACTGTCTGCACTGTCGCGTGGTGAACAGCTGCCCCACATAGGATCTACCACATTCACCACCTTCTAATGCCCAGGCCAAGCCAGAGTGCTACACGGTCACAAGGATCCAAAACTGGATTTAGGATCCATAGGCTTTATTAAATCCAAATATACACCATCCAATGTAAGATTCAAAAGAAACATAATTATAGGAAGGGGGGATGCAAAAATAAACAAAGCAATCAGTATTCCATCATTATTTTAAGATGTGTTACTGTCCCTCCCTGAAAAAGAAATGCCATGCTATAGTTTACTGCAAAATGGTTACTGTTTATGCTAGCCACTCAGCACATGCACCTTCATTCTATCAATTGATCTCACACCAGTATTTCCCCTTTCCCTACTTCATAACTTACAATGGTCAGAAACCGCATGTGGACACAAAGCAGCTCCCATGAGCACTGACCCTCTTAGTTGCACTCCCCAGCACACCCTTGACGAGCAGAACGAGGATAATTCCACAGGCAAAGGAGCCAGCACAGCCACCCTCTTCCGCTGTAGCATGCTGCCTCCCCAAGGTGAACCGAACCCACACACTGGCTCACTGCTGGGGGAAAAGGAAGAATGTGCCCAAAATGCTACTAGCACTCTAGTCTAGAATCTACTATATAAGGGGTGTGTGTGTGTGTGTGTGTGTGTGTGTGTGTGTGTGTGTGTGGCGGGGGGGGGGGGAGCAACTTAGTAGCAATCCCAACTTTCTGAGCTCCTGACAACACGTGCAGCTTTTCAAGATCCAGGGATTTCTGAAGTGGCCAGGTCATCACTGCAAGATGCTTCTGCCCAGGGCTGTTCCTCAGCCTATACTAAACCCCAAAATGTGGGCGAAGGGAACTTCAGGTTATCGGGGAAACAGAGAAGCCAAAAGGGCTAAATAATCAGGAATTAAATAATTCTGAGGCCAAAGCCCATCGCGGCCACCCACGGCAGAGGCAGCAGGCAGCGTACGGCGCTTCAGGGGCTGAATACAGAGCCGGGCCTGCGGACCCGAGCCTCAGCTCCCGCGCGCCCTGGACCTCCACCTGGCCAAAAGGGAACTGGGCTGCCATCCTGGCGCGCTCAAACTTTCTCCGCAGCCCATCCTACCGCGTGTCCCACGGGCGCGAGCGCCGGCGGCTGGCGGTGAGGATGCGAGCTGGGTACCCCAAACTCTGCACCGCCCGAGGCGACACTAGGGCGCAGGAATCCCGAAGTGCCACCGGAGGACACACGCGGGGAGCTCTCCTGACGGAACTCCGAGTTTGGCAACTTTGTGGGGCCGGCAGCGTGGTCGGCCGCGCGTCCCGCCCCGCTCCCGCAGCCCCCGCGCTCACCCAGCAGCGGCGTGGCCCAGCGCCCC